CACCTTTGACCCACCAAACAATCCAATTTTCAATGGCCAAAGAAGGAAGAAAAGCAACCATAAACAGCCCTTTTATCAGGGGTAAATGAACATGTATTTGATTAACAAGACAAAGTACTTTGAATCAATAAGATTTGAACACACTCGTGCATACAAAAACCAAAAAAATCAATCAAAATAGCCTACAATTCCCTCTATGTTTTTTCATACCAATTTACAATTTATCTCATACAATTTTGACATGACCACCCACCAAGCAATATACAAACTGAAAAAAAAAATTGAAAAATCAATGTCTCTAATCTGATACACGATGTGGTCAAGGACATAGAGTAGTTATGACCTTCTTGGATTTTCGAAAATCTCGCTGTTTAAACAGTAACTTCTCTTCTGCCTCTCAATCTTTCATTTTTCGCGAATCCTGGCTTCATCTCTGGATGTGCATCACATAGCTGGCACGGGTATGGCCACCCCAGTGGCAACATCAATGGAGCTACTAGCAGTGGAGTCTCGGTTCTCATCCGTTGTTGCCGACTTCTTAATAAACTCTATGCAGTCAGCAACTGCTTCACTGCTATAAGGGTCATGGGAGCAATAAGGCCTCTGTGAATTAGACGATCTGCTCTCATGTGTAGCCTTGGAGAGAGCAGATAGCATGATCAACCGGAACACCGCCTCACGGAGGCGATCGATCAACGACATGGGCGATAACCGGTTGCTTTTTCTTGTGCAAGTATTGCCTCTCAGCCTTGGCATGCAAAAAGGGCTCTTCATGGTCCTCCTCTGCCTTGTCTTGGGTTTCTCTCTCTTTGCTTCTGGCCTTTTGTCTCTGATAACCATGAGGGACTGTAAAAGTATAAGAATCCTATGAATAAGCACAACGGCACATGTTAATGTATATTGGATGGGCTGTTGGAAGTTTGTGTAAGTGCAAAGGCTTGGGTGGTTGTAATCTGGCTTGTGGCTGAGCTAAACTTGGCCACCAGAATTTTCCCTTTTAATACAGCCATTTTTGGGTTTACCCAATCAGAAAATGGCGCGTTAAGAGAGAGAAAGTAAGGATTAGGTCAATGGTTGCGTATATTAGGTTGTATCTATTATGTATAATTGATTAATCAGGAGTCATAGTACCGTAAGAATCAGGAATTAAGCCTTGGAAAATGATAGTTTGTTTATAAATTGTTGTATATATATAATACGGTGCGCAACACAGATTCAGTGTTGCGGTCTGCAGGATGAATACCTTCATCCTGGAGGGAGAGTATTGTGATCTGGGCGTCAACTATTAGAATTATGAAAACAATATCTCTGCACACGGGATAAGACTGTATATATTTAACTCACCCAAAACTTGTAATGGCAGGAGCCTCTGCAACCTTTTTTTTTTTTGGTCTGCAGGATGAATTTCAAAAAAAATTCTACAAAACTTATGGGATTATTAACTAGTCAGGTTGGTGTGCTGCTGAGATCTTCCTTGCATTCTAATGAGACTGCTGAAGCTTCGTAATGGGATTAGAAAATAAACCCATTATTGAGCAGGGAATCAATGCCTATAATAAACAGAAATAATGTTGTTTCGATTGGGACCTCAAAAACCAGCAAAGAAAATGAAAAATTTGCCAGATTTTTTAGCTGGAAATGGTGGGGGAATCAGTACTAAGTCAACACTCAAGGCCGTAGGGGCCATTAAAATTGAGAAATGTATGGGAATCTTCTGATGTATAATGACAACGATACCGAAGGATCCCTTCACCAGTTGAGAGATTGACTAAAGTTTTTTTTAAAGATGGATTGCTTTGGGGTACCTAATTATTCCCTCAAGACCATTGCTGTAGTTAAATTAGGCCATAAAACCGGCTAGAAGGTAAGGTTTTTCTTTCTTTTTTTTCTTGGTTCAAATGTCAAGGGTGTTTATACAGGTGATCCACGTCGAGATTATGATATTTATGAAGGATAAATTCTTTATGATTGACTCCAAAAAATTACCAAGATTCGAGATAAGGTGTTTTTGAGGGTGACTAGTACATTCCATTTGTACAAAATATAATTACAAATTTTATCACCTGTGTGTAGTTCAATTCCAAATCTGTCATATAGAATTTCTATACCTTCCTCAGTTGCTTTCGATAACTCCAAATCAAAATGTCAGGACTATATTTGCACACTAGGAATGTCATTGCTATGCCCTAAATTAATAAAAGATGAGCAAGCTGAATCTTATTTCAAAATAGATCTCGACTACATACACTTATCTCTCTTTTTTTTCAAACTTGTATGGTTTAGTTTTATGACAACATACATTGTTTTTGAGGCTTTTATTCAGGAATGGGTTTATAACATTTTTGGTCCTTAAAGTATGCATTTTTTGTCATTTTAGTTCTCATTGTATCAATTTTGTCAATTTAATCCCTAACATATTTAATTCGTGTCAATTTGATCCTCACATAGACAAACTGTTAAATTTTTTGACATAATGATCACATGATACTACCTAAAAAATAATACATAGACACTTCAGTCAAAAGTCTATGCAAAGACCAAATTGACACAAATTGAATACTTTAGAAATTAAATTGACAAAATTGATTAAACTAACAAAAAATACATACTTTAAGTACTAAAAGTGTTATTAATTAACCCTTGAAAAATTAATGAATTTATTATTAAATTAAAGGGTTTAATATTTGATTTTTTTGCTGATAAATTAAACTCGATTTTATTTCAAGTTTGACTCTTATGCTAACAATCTCTTGTCTTGAACTTAGTTGAAGCCAAGGTTAATCAATCACAAACAAGTCGGGCATGATCATACTCAAACTTGACAAACTTGATTCGAACCTTCCAAAAATCGAAAGAAAATTCGTGGTATTCGGATTGCTTCTTGAATATACACTCAATGGTGGTCCTTTTAGATCCATGAATTCAGCAGGAAAATTCTGCAAAACGACAAGCTACTGTGAAAAGCCACAAGGTGAAGGAAGGGTAAGCTGGTGCTGGTGCTGGTGCTGGCTCATAGTGGTGTAGACTAGGGCTCGTTAAGAGGAAGTTTTTGTCTTTTAAGTAGTGGAAGTGTTCACATGCATACACGTGCAAAGTTTTTTTTTTTAATATGTTAATGAACACATCCATGCCTTCGCCACCTCTCTATTCAATTCAACCGACTTACCGACCATAAAAATACTTTTGTTCTATTTTTATGTGAGAGAGAGGGAGAGGTGGGAATTGTGAAATGGGCAGATAAACAAGTGCATGTGTGAAAGATGGAGCTTATAATTAACTAAGGTATGTGAGGGAAAATCTTCACCATGCTCTGAATTGGATTTGCTGTCGGTTTGTTTCTTTGTTTGTTTGCTGTGTAGGTAACATTTGATTGGTTTTTTTTTGGACGTTGACTAACTCTCTGGTGCATTATCACCTTGAGGCAGCATGTGGTCAACTTGGGATTTGTGTTCCATTCCTTCTTCTATGGTAATGAACATGTCAATGCTTACTTTAATTTCAAATTTAGAAATTCTTACTGGTATTTAGTGATTGTACTTGACCTTTCGTAATTCAGATGTCTTAAATTTTATCCTTTTTTATACACTCTAAAAGTTAATCATTTTTGTCTCTTTAAGGACATGTTCTAATCCATCTTAAGTCACGATGACTAGCGGCTGAGTTTGAGAGAGTAGTCGGCACAAATATTGACATCCTATGGAAAAAAAAATTTAAAATTAGAGCTTGTATTCCTTAAGATCAAGGAGAGAAAAATGACACTAAAAAGAAGTCGAGAAAATGGCGCTGCAAAGAGTTCATGATCACATAAAGGACTGGAGAAGGCATAAATATGATTGGACCAAATTCTAAAAGAAGCAAAAAAAAAGGGGTTGTTTATGATTTCTTAACTGTCTTTACCTTCATTAGCAAGGTTATGTCCTATTGGAAGTTTGTGTGGTATTTTATTCTACGGATAATAGTAGTAACGAACTATAAATTTAAAAGTCTTAAATTTAAATTTTGACAATTATTTGAAATTAGGTGATTAGGGATTTATCCCTTATGAAAATCCTGTTCTGGTGGGGATGACCTATTTTTTATCATACCAAAGAAAAAATTAATTGAGATGCACATAAATTAGTCCAGACACTCCTAACTATTGAACAAAAGAAAAATAACGTATGCAGGAGGTTGATAGTAAATTGTTCACTTTATGGATTCAGAAACCCAGTTCTTTTATAAAATAACAATAGGTTTATGTTTTCTTATAAATTTGAAGTAATTTGATTAAACTGTTCTCCTACCACACCACTGCTTGCTGTTGCATCTTCAAAACGTGTGTGATGTCCACAATTGTCAGGAATGGGCTGGGCCTACTTGGCCCTCCAATAAACTGTCTAGGACAGGACTACGTGGGAAAGTTTGGGTCATTGACAGCTCAACGGCCTAGGCTGGCTAGTCCATCCAAAGTCCTATTGTTCTCCAAAGTTTTTGTTCTTGAAAAATCACTTACGTTTCAAAAAAAATACTAATGGGCTAGAATGTGGGCTTATCCATTGGGCCTAGACATTGGTCCATAGATGAGCCAACCTGCCGAGCTTAGAGCGCCAAAAATAAAGGGGGTTGTTCCGATCCAATGTGCTGCGATCCGCCGGCGACTTTTGATTCTCTACCACTTTCTTTACATTATGACTGATGTTGCCAAATATATGCTTTGTTTCTAGATTTTCAAACGCTGTTTTACGTTGTTAAGTGGGCCAGAGGCATATGATTAAGATCAAGAATGAAGGAAAGTCCCAGTGTTTTAGATTCATAAAATATACTTTCTTATATATATATAGAGATCACTCATGGATCATCCAAACACATTCTACATCATTTTATCCTTCTAGTCCAAAGCCATTACCACCTTGGTACCTCCCAAAACCAATCAAAAAGAATGCCAAGAAAAAATATTTGGAGGAAAAACAATCGTAGGAATAGCAGATTATTTGAATTCGAAAAGAAAAAAAAAAGTACAAAAACAATATTCATAAATATTTTACTCAAGCAATTATAAAGTTGTATTGCTCTATCCCAAAAAGATGTGCCTCACTTCAGCCTATGATAATCACATTTTGTGTTCATTTAAGGGTAGTCTTAGACTCTTGGAGAATCATTCTCTTGGCCTTGGCCTCCTTTCTTTTTCAAAAACAACCCTCCAATCAAAGGGATTAGAGTCTTCCTCTTCATCTTCTTCTCAAGGGAAGGGTGAGTCTCCACCATGTTAACATCTACATCTCTGCTTGTAATCAACTTTTCCAATGAAGAAGGACTCGCAAACTTTACAGACCTCTTCTTCTGAAACTGATAATCAAAACTATCTTCTGTCTGTGGCTTGACTACAACTCTGCTTGTGTTTTCGATGAACTTGAGCTCTTCAATTTCGGGATCATCTGGCTCTTTATAAGATTCTCTTGCCTTCAATTGTTGTAACTCTCTCTTTGTCTGTTCAAGGTCTTTTTTTAGAGATTGAAGGCAAAAAGCCATGATAGTACCTTCTTCTTTTGCCTTTTGAAGGCTTTGCTTTGTCTCTTCAAGTTCAGCTGTTACAGCTCTTAATTTGGATTGGTATTGTCCATTTTCCCTTGTTTTGGTTTCCATCTGACAGAAAAGTAATGACATTTGTATATGTTAATTGTCTGAGCCGGGGGGTGAGAGAGAGAGAGAGAGATCAAACCTCGTTGAGCTTGTTGGCATAGATTTCCCCAGCTAAAACCTTTTCCCCGAATAACATAACTGCTTCTTTCACTGAGCGAAAGGGTTTGCGCATGTCGATCTGTACGCGTCCTCTCACTACTAATCCCTCTTCTCTCTCCATGTTCAGCACTGCAGAACTTTCTGTTCTAAATCTCTACACCATGCATGCAAACACACCACAGAGTTAGAGAGAGAGAGAGGTGGCTGTGATGAATGAGTGGTGATAAAGATCTCTTTTTGCTTTAATATGAAGCATGTAGAGGGGAGAGAGAGTGAGAGAGGTGGTTCGGTCGTAAAGGTGGGATGATTTTGATTATTTAATTTAAGTAAAGGAAAATCATGGGCTTAATTTCTTCGCGTCCACTTCACTAGAAGTCTGTTAATTGACAGTGATACTTGGTGGTTATATTTTCCCCATCCATTTGCCAAAAATCACATTCATTGAGAAACCCAACAAAAGTGGTCTTTAAGGATACCCAACTCCTAACCTTTGATTTGGACCTGCCTCCTCTCTCCTGGACCCCACGGTTTAAGTCCTACTGCTAACTATTTTGGTAGGACTCAATTTTGGGAGTAAATATTGATTTAACGGTGGAATTACGTTATTATTACCACGTTATATCATTATTTAATAATAAATTTATAAATAATATAAAATGAGTTATCCTTTAATAGTTATTAAATGACATGGTAGAGTGATTATTATAGTACGTGAAATTTACCTATTTATTTGTTATATTTTTTATTAAATAATGATATTATATGACAATAATAACGTGATGTCACCGTTGCACCCAATATTTTTTATAATTTTGAAGACCATTAGATTTATAAATAGACACAAAATTATAGGTTATGACTAATTATTGTTGTAAATGAATTTGAAATGACACACTCTTACTCAAATAGTAAACGAGTTGAGTTATGATTAATCACGGGAACTCGATTTTGATACGAAAACTCATTTTTTTAACTAGGACGATAAATCCATTTAGATATTTTATGATATTTTTCTTCACTTCTTGATCTGGTATGTGTAGATTTGACAATTCAAAACATGAGTTGTGAACTTGACATGAACACGGAACAAATTTTAACGGATTTAAGTGTAATTTTAATGGGTTAACTCGGCAGACTGTTGAAATAAACAAATTAATTTCGTGTTTAACTTATAAACCTGTTTCAACTTGTTTAACCCATTAAGAGTGACACTATAAATTTTTTAAAAAAAATAAAAATTAGGTCTCTAAACCTTTTGCCGCACCTCAAGAATCATGATTTCTTTTACATTCGTTATTGCATACACACGTGTTTGCCCAGTCATGGTTTATTGCTAAAATAAATAATCAAAACATTACATATGTCTAGCGAGATGGTATTTTCTGTGTGAACTTTAAAAATTCTAATAAATTCTCTTATTTAACATGTGGCACATGAATTGTGTCAGATAACTCGTCTAATAAATGAGTTGTATATGAGTGTGATAGTTGAACCCATTTATATAAACGAATGGTATATGATTGAAGGATTTTTTTGAAACAAAATCGTTTCACCCGACATGATTGTCAGGTCTAAATACGTGCATGAATTCTTGTAATATTGAATTTTTACAAATATCTCAACCGGATATATTATTAGTTTGGTTTAGAAAAGACGCTTATAGTGGATTTTTAGTTAACACATTATACTTGTCGATTCATACACAACATTATTAATGTCCATGTTGGATCAGTATCATGTGATCAAACAAATACTTTAGACAAACCACCCAAGATTTGTTAATATTAAATACAGGACTAAAACAATTCCACACAACATGATTGGATGTATTGCTGCGGTTTTTTTTTTTATCAAAAACAAATTTTATTTATTCACAAAACCAACAGAATTACGTGAAGCAAGTAAGGCCATAGCCAATTTAAAACTAACAAAAGATATACAATAACCAAAAACAACCAAACAACTCCTTCCAAAAGCTCCCTCCAGACCAGTCCAAAGCAGCAAACTAGCGAAGCAAAGCACATCCAAAAAACCTAATAAACAAACAATCCATCCCATGTCCCATGTTTCAAACACCATACAGCCATCTAGGAACCCTGGTCGTCAAACACCGCCTTCCTTCTCTTCCATAAAAAGGGTAAATCCCTCAAGTCTCGAGTCAAAGTCAATGTCACTTCACAACATAATCTTAAAAAAGGCCAGGGACATGCATACAAACCCAAAACAGAATTCACAAACACCAACGAATCACATTCAATAACAAATCTGTAACATGACAAATCATACTGCCATATCAAATGAAGACCATCATCCTAATGCAATGAGCTTGAAATTAGGACGATAACATGCATTCCGTTCTGTTCTATTTCAATGGCAATGTCTTTTCTGGTGCCTTTTAAGGGGGTAAGTGCAGTTATCTCATTCAATTTGCATCAGGGGATTGAAAAGCCATAAAGTAGATGATGTGTGCTTCATGTTGGTGATAAGATAAGGAAGATTCCCGCTTTTACTTTCCCAACATCATGTTTAAATCTCATAATTTAGCGAGGATAGGAAAATAAAAATAGAGCAGATTTTATTACGGTATCGCATTTTGTATAGTATCGAAAATTAGAATTTTTTATAGTTAAGTAATAATTTTTTAAAGCGTAAATTATATCTTATAAAGGAAATGATCGATCTCAAAATATTGTGATCGATCATGAAAATTATAATTTTTAAAAATTAAGTTACAATTCGTAAAAAGAGAAGTTATAATTCATTAAAGTAATTCACGATTGATAGTTATATATTTAAGAAAAAATATATATGTCTATGTATATTATTCTAATTAGTTTACAATCAAATTATGGGGTTGGGGGATTTTTTTTTTTTTTGGGGGGGGGGGGTGGGGGGGTTTCGGTTGCAAATGGGAGAGGAAGAAGGTGGATTTTCCACATATTATTGAATGGTGGGTTGTGGTGGATGGGTTGCTGGGGGGAAGGAAGGGGCTGATTTTGGTTTGGATAGGGGTTTCAGTTGGTGGCTTGAGGTTTATTAGGGGCTGTGAACCTCAGTGGAGGTGGCGGTGGGGTTAGTGTGAGGAAAGAGAGGGTATACTTATTATGAAATTCTTATTCTTGGGGTTTTTGATAAAATGCAATAATTATTGGGGTTTTAATTGGATGTTGTCCGGGATGAAGATGGCTAATTTGGAAATCTTCTACAAATAAATACGCTGATGTCACTGAATTTTGACGGCACGTTGGACGGAATTCACACGGCAAAGGGAGCTATGTGTGCCGTGACACAGTACAAACTTTAGGGGTTAGAAGTATTATTTTTCATATCTTAAGGACCTTTGTAATTTAGTGACAAACTTTCGGGGAGGTCAGATGTAATTCTCCCAATCTCAATTTACCGAGTCGTCCACGACCTGGACGAAGAAACGGGGAGTCGGAGAGAGAGTGACTGTTTGGACGATCACTTGCAAGCCGCCTAACCTCTCATAAAACCCTCCGACGAACGAACAATTTCGCACCAAAATCAATCTCACTTCCTATTTATCCACCAAATCACTTTCTCCATCCAAACATACCCTAAACCCTCACTAGCCGTTGTACAGTGCCAATTGTAAAGACGACCTCAAATAAAACCTCTTCATAATCTATTCTCTCTCTCTCTTNCCTTCTCCATCCAAACAAACCCTAAACCCTCACTAGCCGTTGTACAGTGCCAATTGTAAAGACGACCTCAAATAAGACCTCTTCATAATCTATTCTCTCTCTCTCTTTCCAAAGCCCTAGATTACAATTTTTGTTCGAATCTCTTCGTTTGCTTACACAATCTACAATCCACCATGAGTCCCATTAAGAATTTCGAGCAACACTCTCGCCACCTCATAGAACCCGACCTACGTACTCGCTCTCTCTCTCTCTGCATACTTATTCAGGTTTGTGTACGGTTTTTTTCCGTATTTGTTTTTGATTTTGTTTTTTGTTTCGTTCTGTTTTGAAACAGCAATTCAGACGAGGCTACAAATGGCGATGGAGGTACGGGACAGTTTAGAGATCACACACACAGGGGAGTACTTGAATTTCCTGAAGTGTTATTTTCGGGCGTTCTCCGCGATTCTGTATCATATAACGAAGCCCCAATTCGCCGATAACCCCGAGCACAAGCTCCGGAACATTGTGGTGGAAATTCTCAATCGTCTTCCTCACAGTGAAGTCCTTCGGCCCTTCGTTCAGGAACTCTTGAAGGTTGCAATGCATGTACTCACCACCGATAACGAAGAGAATGGGTTAATTTGCATTAGGATTATCTTCGATTTGCTAAGGAATTTTAGACCAACCTTAGAAAATGAAGTTCAGCCCTTTTTGGACTTTGTGTGTAGAATTTACCAGAACTTTAGGGCCACTGTAACTTATTTCTTTGAAAGTGGGGCGGTTTCGGCACCAGTTGCGGTTTTGGGTTCTATGTCATCGTCGACATTAAGTTCATCGGTAGGTGGGGAAGATGTGAGGCCAATGGAGTTGTCCGATCCAATATGTCCAAGTGCTGGATATGTTGGGCAGCTTAACCCGAGTACCAGGTCGTTCAAGATTGTTACGGAGAGTCCCTTGGTGGTTATGTTTCTGTTTCAGTTGTATGGCCGGCTTGTTCAGACCAACATTCCTCATTTGTTGCCATTGATGGTCGCCGCAATTTCTGTTCCGGGTCCTGAAAAGGTTCCGCCCCATCTCAAGACTCACTTCATTGAATTAAAGGGCGCCCAGGTTAAGGTAAGTGCTAGTTCTTTTTTGTGTTATTTTTTTGAAACTATCATCTGCGAGCTGCTAGAATGCTATCTTTGTGGAGCTATTTCTCTATTTCACGAAAGCTTATTGGTTTGCTTCTCTGCCATATCCTGTTCTGTACCTGAATTGAACTTGCTTTTGAAGCCTACTCTGGTCTCTCCTTTAATTCTAGCAGTTGCTTTCGGTTGCTCTTGTTGAGCAATGAAGTTGAGTACCTCAAATGCACCTACTTTCAGTTGCTCTTTTGATGAGTATATTTTTCTAAATAATAGGGAAATAAAGGAGACAACATCTCAGATTCTTATGGATTGAGTACTTTTTCTGTGAGGATTTTGTTATGACAGATGAGCGATGCTTTTTTATGACATGTTGCTCAACATAAAATNGTACTCACCACCGATAACGAAGAGAATGGGTTAATTTGCATTAGGATTATCTTCGATTTGCTAAGGAATTTTAGACCAACCTTAGAAAATGAAGTTCAGCCCTTTTTGGACTTTGTGTGTAGAATTTACCAGAACTTTAGGGCCACTGTAACTTATTTCTTTGAAAGTGGGGCGGTTTCGGCACCAGTTGCGGTTTTGGGTTCTATGTCATCGTCGACATTAAGTTCATCGGTAGGTGGGGAAGATGTGAGGCCAATGGAGTTGTCCGATCCAATATGTCCAAGTGCTGGATATGTTGGGCAGCTTAACCCGAGTACCAGGTCGTTCAAGATTGTTACGGAGAGTCCCTTGGTGGTTATGTTTCTGTTTCAGTTGTATGGCCGGCTTGTTCAGATCAACATTCCTCATTTGTTGCCATTGATGGTCGCCGCAATTTCTGTTCCGGGTCCTGAAAAGGTTCCGCCCCATCTCAAGACTCACTTCATTGAATTAAAGGGCGCCCAGGTTAAGGTAAGTGCTAGTTCTTTTTTGTGTTATTTTTTTGAAACTATCATCTGCGAGCTGCTAGAATGCTATCTTTGTGGAGCTATTTCTCTATTTGACGAAAGCTTATTGGTTTGCTTCTCTGTCATATCCTGTTCTGTACCTGAATTGAACTTGCTTTTGAAGCCAACTCTGGTCTCTCCTTTAATTCTAGCAGTTGCTTTCGGTTGCTCTTGTTGAGCAATGAAGTTGAGTACCTCAAATGCACCTACTTTCAGTTGCTCTTTTGATGAGTATATTTTTCTAAATAATAGGGAAATAAAGGAGACAACATCTCAGATTCTTATGGATTGAGTACTTTTTCTGTGAGGATTTTGTTGTGACAGATGAGCGATGCTTTTTTATGACATGTTGCTCAACATAAAATTGAGTGATTCTGCACTAGGATTGTCAGATGAATACGTGTTTGAAATCTAGTGTCAATTGTACTCCTTATTCCCTAGTAAGAGGCAGTGGTGAGAAACTGCTTTTTTGGAGATTCTTCCCTCTAAAATGTATTTCCATTTATCATACATAGGCAAGTCCACTCATTGGCTAAGATGATTCACATATATCTTATCCTGTTTTCCCTGATCACATGCAGCTTTCCTTCATCTCATTTCTTTCTCCTCTAAATATATTGAGATACTNTATGCATATATCTTATCCTGTTTTCCCTGATCACATGCAGCTTTCCTTCATCTCATTTCTTTCTCCTCTAAATATATTAAGATACTGGTGTCGAATATAACCACAAAGGGGGTAGACAATCTTAAAACAATAGCTTCGACGAGTTGGTAAGCAGATGTGAAAAATTCCAACACCAATCATGTATGAGTGAATATTATACCAAGAATTGATAAGCAGATGAGTTTTCTTGTTGGCTTTGTTTTTTTTTTCCTGGAAGGTATCTAGTTGGCTGTGCTAGTATAACTTAGACAGAGAAAAGAAACACTCTACTAAGGGGCTTAATTTTCAAATTCGAGGCCTTTGTCCCCTCCCTCCTTTCCCTTTTCCTTGCTTGTCCTTTGAAAACTAGAAAACTTGTATAGAGGAGTTTATGTATACATATGCTCCTCCACTGATCCTACCTCTTAACCAAAAACAACTCCATTGAGTGATAGAGGTAAAGGAGAGTAGCCACCACATCGAAGGATTACAAGAGATGCCTATGCTCAAAAAGCACCAATCGAAATGGGAGATTCTTGGGATCAATTGAGGTCTTTATCATCAGAGAAATTGGGGACATAGGCAGGGTATAAGTATTCTATCTACTGCAAAAGACTAATCAAAAGCCTATGTTTGAACGATAACAAGGGCAAGAAACATCAATTAACAAGGGAATTAAAATTGAAAATCAAAGGTGAAGGGGAAAGATTTCCTTTTATATGAACTCACTTCATTTTTATGAAAGGAAATGAATATCTGTTGATATTAAATAATTAATTACCAAAAAAGCCGGATGTGGCTTTTTTAGAAATAGAGAATTAGCTCATTACCCTATATAAGTACGACCCATTGAACACACTTTCTTACTAAAGAGAATCAACCATACAAAATATAGAAGTAAAATTGGATAGAGCCATGATATAGATTAGAAAAGCTGATGCAAGATGCTTTCTTTCTGGTGGACTTTTGTCGTTTGTCGATCCAGGAGAAAGAAAACATGTTATATCAGCTTTTCTAATCTATATCAAGGCTCTATCCAATTTTACTTCTATATTCTGCTTGGGTCTTTCTTTTCTAACCTACCTCAAACCCAGTCATCACAGTCGCAAAATTCCCTCCAAATGTGGCCTGTTTGCCATTCAAGTAATAGGCAACAATGAGAAACTCTCACCAAGTAGCAGGTATAGTATTCCTACGAGTGTTCGTATCTTGAATGGAGGAGCTAAAGCAGTTGATGAATGTCCTGATTGGTAGACATGGGAACTAGAGAGACGGTATGCAATACCAGAAAACTCTAAATCAACAGTATGACGAGGCGAACCCTTTTCAATCAGTGGACCATTTTCAACCTATTGAGTGCAAAAAATTGGGAATAGGGACATAATCCATAAGGTTCCATTCTCTTGTGTTGATTCTGAATCTAACTAAATTCTTATGTTGAAGTCACGTTCTTCTCTCTCTCCCTATCTCCATTCTAGCTTCCTCTCCTTCATCGTTTTCTCTCCCTTCCTAATTCTTTAAGCTAGTCAATTTCCATCCCTCTTTTTTGACTTTTACCCTCCTTATCAAGAATGGCTTTTATTGGTGTTGTGAGGCAATATGATCCATGTGTATTGTCAATTTGACTCCCCAGTTATCCTCTCGATCTTCATGTTCTAAAAACTAGAATATATATTTCAAGAAATGGAAGTGAAATCTTAAAATTGGATTTCACCCAGACTTCAATGAAGGCTAGTTCCTACTCCTCCTTTCTTCTTTAGGATATGACCATTATTGATCTTTTTCTCTCTTGCTGCTCAAGATGGTTGATTCCTGTTGTCGGTTACCTATGTCTGCCTGCTGATTGCTCGACCATCTCTCTTTCTATGATATTTTGAACTCCTATTTAAATCCTGAATCGCATATACAACCTAAGAATTGGGGATGATCTAGCAGCTTCTTCATGTTTGCACCCTTTTCTATCATCACAAGTGTATGTATCAGATAGGTATCTTCCAATGTGGCTTTCTAAGATGCAGACATGGAAGATACCTCCAGAAAGAAAGCCATGTGAAGAAAGACATGGCTGCATTTGCACCTTAGGGCTGATTGGTTAACTGGGTACTGCTAGCTAATTTTATTAAAAAAAAAAATAGTAATCAGTTTTGAGACACTTGTGAACCGTGTTCATTGTTCATAATGTTTAGTAATATTTGTTCATGGAGCTAGTTGTATAAGCTGTCGTGACGAATTATGTTAACAATGCAGTCGATGTACTTACTGCCCAAATTAAAGACTTTGGAGGCAATCAAAATATAATAAAATTCATTGTTATTAAAATCGTACGGTTGGCAATTTAATTCTTATGATTCAATTTAGTCCCATTCAATTCATATCTTACTATAGAATCATTTTTGGCCAAGGATCGCAAGAATTATATGATTCGATTCGAATCGAAGGAATCTCACGATTTGTTTTTTTTTTTGAAATCCTATTTATAGCAAAATGATGTCGTTTTGCTAGAAGAGACCCACCCCCAAATATAAAACTCACGTTTCTCTCGGTATCTGTTGTTGGCATCTTTGCCTCTTAAGCGACTGTTAAAACATCTTGTGAACATCACACATAGATACATCTTCTTCACCACAAGTATGCTTCTTCATCAAAAATTGCTACTTAAACTCTAACATACTCTACTTTTTCTTCTTCTTCTTCTTCTTCTTCTTCTTTAATACATGTGCTGTTTTTTGTTTTTCATCATAAAATTATTTTTTAATTGAATGTGGGAAGTGATTTTTTAAGTTTACTTATTTGAATTAGTATGAGCTTTTCCTATTTTAGTTTAACTTCGTTGGTATGAAGACGAGCTATTTGTTGGTTAAACATAATGCATCTTTCATCGTGTCTATTTTGAAGGAACAATTTATTATGCATTAAGAAAAAAGTAATAGAGGTATAAATTCAAGTGCAACTTTATAAAGATTTATAGAGGTTTGCATCTTTGTATTTAGACGACATGATCATGTCAATACATCAATTGATTATTATTAAAATAAAATAATGTTCAATATTTAATATCTTGCCTATGTTAAATATGTAACTTGTTAAACTTTTATCATTGTTTGAATATTTTTTTGAATCTTACTATTCTTGATTCTCAAATTTAGGATTTTGATTTCTCATATGAACCTTGATTTGATAACTATTAAAATTAGTAATATAACTAAAATGTTTTGAGGAAAATGTAAATAAAAATAATAAAAAAAACAATCTGGTTTGATTTAGGTTGATTGAGTCTGTGAAATACTTTCCATGCATAATCCCGGCGAAGTTTTAATTGAAGGTGTAAATCTACCTGTCAAATCCTTATGGGGACAGTGATCAGACAGTGAGGTTCAGGTTTGATATGCCGAGGTGGCATGGATGCAATGCAACTGAGCTGCCTGTAATCATACCATTTTATTGGATTCTGGAATCTTCTCTTTCTGTGTGTTTATATGGTTTCTAATACGTATTATGAGTTTTTCCATAAGAAATATGCTAGATTCCACTGCCATAGGAAGGTACCCTGCAGTGCTGCTAGTTGCAGATTTTGTTTAAAAATCCATTGGAAAACCCGTGTTGAGGGACTGGGCATGTTGATTTTATCAGGTTTGTTCGATGTTGAAAAGAAAGGATGGGTTTACAGGGATAAAATGAAGGATAATAGAAGAGATGAGAGGGGAAAGAAGGGTAAAAGAATGCCTTTTGATTTTTTGCACAGAGGCATCCAGCAAACTGATGGAGCAATATAGTAGGTGTCAGACAGAATATATTAGGAATGCACTCGCTAAAGTACAAACTTGTATTGAACATAAGAAGTAGGAAGAAAGAAAGCCCAACTTATGTGTTTTACCTTTCTGTTGTTTAAAAGAAGAAAAAGTGTTTTTGTTTAATGTATATGTGATCTGCGGTGGAGCTACTCTATGGCCAAAGGGGCCATGGCCCCCCCCTCCCCCTCCTGTACTGATGTGGACCTTATAGATATGTTAAATACTTGTAGGAGTTATGTACTGTCAAGAGAGTTGGTCCTCCCTTTCCATTTCCACATACACACTCAATAGTTTCTGGGGAAGTGATCCACGAACTTATCCCATAAGATTCTATCAAAGTTGTTAAGAAATATATTTAGTTTGTGACCCATTTCAAATTTTTTTGTTAAAATACTCTCTTTGTCAAATGAAAACTTAATAAAATACTCTTTTAGATAAATTCCTGTCAGTCAAATTATTTAGTTTGCCTGGTTTTTCAATTATGGGATTATGCTATATCCATGTGTTGATTTTTTTATTGCCTATTATTTTTGATTTATTTGAATGGTTGTTTAAGACTAGAATATCAACAAACTATCCATTTTTTGATAGATTGGTCAAACTTTTTATATTATTAAAATTAAGCTTGACACAACGATGAGTGATAATTTTCTCACATACTCTTTGATTGTCTACATCAAAAAAATGTTACCAAAAAGTTTAGCACTGATTAATTATAAATAACTTCTTTGATAGAAACGAACATTGATATAATATGTGACTAACTCGATCGTTATTTAAACTATTCCTTTTCTCGTTGACTTCGGTCATAATGAATATACTTTTTCATTTAATATATGAATAAATAAATAAATAAATAAAAAGAATAAATAAGTCATCGGTACTTGTTTGACTTTTTTACATGAGATTTGGCTCCCTATGAGTAAAATTCTGTCTCCTGGCTCCGTCCCTGTATGTGCTCAATACATTGCCTCTGGAGGGGCAGCTTCCCTCTGCAGGGGACGGGGCCTATGGTCGCAATAATTACTAATTCACTATTTGCCTCTGACCGATACCCTTACTTTATTACTGCAGACAGTTTCTTTCTTAACTTACCTGTTGAAGAGTTGCGTCGACTATATCAGGCCACATGAAGAGAGCATATGTAAAAGCATCGTGAACCTGCTTGTTACTTGTTCTGACTCTGTCTCCATTCGAAAGGTGAATTCATATATTGTCATATTTTCTCGTCTTGTGTACATATATGAATTGATTCATATGAATTAATTCGTAAACTTGTTGAATGTAGGAATTGTTGGTAGCCCTTAAACATGTTCTTGGGACAGATTTCAAGAGGGGTTTATTTCCTTTGATTGACACACTGTTGGAAGAGAGGTAAAGTTTATAACTCATATATTTGGGCAAGTACATGGCTATGACTTGTTTGTTTTCTTTTGGGTTGATGGTGGTTTTGAGTTTCCATTTTCATTTAGTTCGGACTGTAACTTACCTGTGCATTAGGAGAGTGCTCACTTTTTAATTTTGTTTGAGTCTTTTTTGGGAGAAAGATAATGTAGAGTTTATCTATGGGATTCATTTGGTGCTGGAGTCGAAGATAGTTGTACTCTTAGGAAATCTTGTTTGTGGATCTCATTGCGTTCTCTTTTTGGGATTAATTTGGGTTAATGATATGAAGGTCTCAGATTTTCGATGCTAGATTTTCTCGATTGATGCTATTGGATTGTATCGATTAGTTCTGATCCAGGGTTTCCAAACTTGTTGAGAGCTAAGAGGACTTGCTGATAGCCCAAGGAGGGAGAAGTAGAATTAAGAGGTGAGGTTGCCTTTCTGTTGCGGAATGATTAGTTCCAACGGAAGTCCCGTAAAAGACACAACCGGAGAGGAGGTTTTTTATTTTTTTTTTTGTGATATTCCAGCTATTTGGAATCATCAACCTATGGTTTATGAATTAAGACTAGCAGCTCTTAGAATATCAGTAACTTCACATAATTACTTCATGGAGTCTAATTCTTGCTCCAGGTAATGGGTGGATGTTCTGCGTGCCTCAATTAAACGTGCCACATTTCTAATCCAGTCCTCATGGATTTGGGTTAATGTGGATCAAACGCCCAATTATTGATGCCTGAATTCTCGACTACACAAAAAAAAAAAAATTGCTATGACTTCAGCTGGTCCTTATTGGAAGGTTTGATCGTATTTTGATGACTATTGCGTTCTTGCAATTTTGTTAACTGATTAAGTATTCCCAATTTTTGGAGGCGTGATGCACAAGGCAAGCTTAGGGAATGCCTTATCACTTATCACTTATCAGTGACATTGATATATCATATCCTGCCTGTAATTCTAAAATTGTTGAAGTTTAGAACTTAACTTTCAGTCTGATGCATTGTCTTACTTTGGAATGTGAACGGGGCAACACGTCTTTTATTTTGTTGTTTTTGGCCTTTTGTGTCCACTTGGATGTGTTCACTCTTGTGATGCTTTCTTTACAAGTTTTTATGCATGCATCTTTTTGAGGTAAGCGACACCCTAGTTATTTGATTACTGTGTAATTCTGATTAATAAGGAAATTTTTACCCAAATAAGAGTATTGGGATCTTGTGATACTCCATCTGAACTTCTTAATAAATCATGTTAGGGTCCTTTTGGGAACTGGCCGGGCTTGCTTTGAGACATTGAGGCCGTTGGCTTATAGTTTGCTGGCAGAGGTTGTTCATCATGTTAGGGGAGATCTCTCCTTGTCACAGGTATTACTTTTCCTAAATCTCTAACTTGATGCCATGATGTCTCTATACCATGTTTATTTAGACAAGGAGGCATATATCGGTTGTCCCCTCCTCCCCCCCCTTCCCCTTTTTTCCATTTCCCCCCTTCTTATTCTTTTTCTTCTTGGAGTTGGTTGACTTTCACAGTATCGGTTTAGGAGAAATGAAGTATCCTGTGTGAGGACCCCTCTCTCTGCTCTGCCTTTCTTTCTCCTTCTCCTCTCTCTTTCTGAGGGTTACATTGAGGACCTAATTTCCATCCAAGACATTCAGAGTTCCCAGGAAGTCAAATGGGATGGGAACAGTTGCAGTTCTGGTCTGTATTAAATCACCTGCCCTCATGACAGAGACAGTGTCTTTAAATATTAAGAACCAAAAAAAAAAAAAAGCAAGAAAGAAAAGACAAAATATCTCTTCATTTCAGCAGCAGGAAGTGTGGGTTGGATAGATAAAGTGTTTTAATTCCACAAGACTCGTAATGGTAGGTGATAATTGGTTGAGTTTTAGGTCCAAAGTCTGGAGTTTTGGAGATGTTAGGCTGGAGAGAAAGAGAACAAGAAAGAAGGAAAACCTTACAAATCTTCTATGTCATTTTAGGACAATCACCCAGTAGAGATAATGCAATCTCTCACCACTAAAAGAATAGAAAGCCTGAAAAATTATATTGGTCAACTTATTCAATTGTGTTTATATACTTGCTATACTGAAGCATAGAAATTTGAAAGTCACGTGCCAGGCCAAAGCAGGTGTCAAGACAAGGATTTCCCAGTAAACTCTAGTATTTTTAATGGTAGGATTTAGCAAATGCTCACCAAACTATTTGATTATGATAACCCTCGTTATGAAAAACTTTATATTTCTAACTATGCCGGTTGGAATCACATGAAGTCAGCCTAAAATCCACACTAATGTGTAAGGTAATCTCCACTATGTAATATCTCTGGTGGGAGTCGGCATCATGGGGGTTCATTTAAAATCCATGCTGAGAACTAAGGTAGTCTTAAATATTGTAACACCAGAGGTGGGACCTGTTGGTCCATGTATTGGGCTTCCATGGATTTTTCTTATTTTTGTTCTCGTTTAAGCATACACTTTTCAGGACCAGTCACTGTCGATAACAACGTCCAATAAAGGGATAATTATGTAGTAACTTCTGCAAAGTAATCAGGCCCTAAAATCATGGGAAAAACATCATTCGGAATTTAAGAACAGAGCAAGGCCGTGGCTTTACTGGTACTTGGATGTCATTGCACTTGCATATTTTTAGAGTAATGATTTCAACATTATGGATCCTAAAACCCTGAGGTTCTTGGAACCTTCATTTTACACTAATCACTATTTCTTTAATTTTGGTCCCTTGCTGCCCACAAAATCAAGGGAAAATAATTGGGACACACCGGTGCTAATTAAATATTTTTTAACAGTCTTACGTCTGACATACTTTTGCATAGCTTCAAATTGGGTCGTCTGCTGATGTAGAGTTTAGCTGGACTTGCTTCCTTTTTTTCTAGCCCATTATTGTGACGCCCCAAAAACCGGAGGTTCTTTGTCAACCCGTTGATCACCTATCAACTTGCGGAATATTTGTAGATATCGTGTAACTCGATATCATGCCGTTATGTCCCATTTACCAGGATCCATAATTTAACGAAATTTGGACAAAGTCTCCTTTGTACGGGGAGTTCTACCCAAAACACAACCTGTGCAATCATACAACATTGACCACACCAGATCCATTTTTGAGTAAACATATAACAACATGTAATTTTATATTAAAAATAGTTTATATGAATTCAATTACAATTTTTTTACATACATTATATGCCAAAAACTAAATTACAAGTTTAGTTTTACAAAAACATCATTTAAAGCCACATTTCGGTTTTTCTTCAACAATTAGGCCCCGACTGAGAGTCTTCCACCGGTGTGAACCCCGCATCTGAAATGTTTTCTCATATAGGGTGATTCACGCTTAATAGGGTATCTCCTATAGAGGCTACTCCCTAACCTAAGTGCATATGAAATGACTACATTCAACAAGTAACAAGCATCCCAAACAAGAATATGCAATTAAATGTTGGAATTCTACCATACCATGAAATGAGATGAGACTCACTCATGCACTTTGACCTGAGCCCTCACCGGCTCCCACAACACAATGTAATGTCAATGTGTAATAAATTCGTCATTGATAAAATACATTCAATAATCATTTTGAAATAAAAGTCATGTGTTTATAAAAGGAAAATCATTGTTGAATGTTACATATCGAATGATTATTTTATAAAACAAAATCATGTGTCTTTGTTGAATAGTGGAGCTTTGGTGTCGCACCGCCTATTCGGCACACCGATACACTTTTCTGAAATTTTACCATAGGGGAGTGTATGAACCAAGTAATCGAGTCTTGCACCCGAGGGAGAATCTAGCCCAGCTTGTTATATCTGACACAAGTTTTTTATGCAATTATGCAACTCTGTCGAATCTTCGATTTAACTTTTGTCGAGTTCAAGTATCAACCACCAAGAATGACGTTTGATCAACCATGCACACACACCTACACCCACACTCATGCGATGCCTTTGTGCAAATGCAATATAAAGTACTATTGTAATATCAATGTCATATCTCATATGTAATAATACCATATGAACTAATTTAACTACATTCAACATTTTCATAGCAAATTATATCCAAAGCATATAACTTCCATAAAGTCATCACAATGCTAATATATCATAAGCATATTCTAACATTCACATTTAACAACAATTTTTTTCAAGTATGTCATACATAATCTATGCAATAACACACTTAATTTTTACATAAACATTTAGTCAAACACCTTTAAGGCACTAAATCATGTTATCACATAAAAATGTCCATAATCATCACATAAATCAAAAAATCACAATTAGTGGTTTTCACATACCCAATTATCAAAATTTCAAGAAATCACAATCTAGCAATTCCTATGTATTTAAGTCAAGGTAGAATTTATTCTACCTATTTTCAATACCCATTTCACATTTCAAATACAATAGGCATTTGTTAAATCAAATCTAACAACTTACCTATTTCATACAAGAATCTTAGGTTAGAAATAAACCTAAGTAGGATGAAAATCCTATCTTTTGAAGCGTAAAACAATGCTAGGAAGCTCCAAGAACCCAAATCTTGCCCAAAATCAAGCTTTTTTCAAAATCTCGTCTTTAAATCTTCAGTGATATCCTTCTTTTTTGGTATGGTTGCGTAGCCCTCGTCGTGTAGATCGACTTTAATACTTGATTTAAAGAATTCCGACTAGCGAAACTCCATAGATGCAAGAAAGAAGTCTTAAAATCTTTTTTTTTCCTTTTCTTTCTCTTCCAACTTGAACCCAATAGAAACCTATCAGAGATGTGTCTAAAAAATCAGATTTTTGTTTCTATTTATACACTCTAACGCTTGGTCCACGTCGCGTCATACGTCTCCCATTCCTGGGTCTGTTTTTGTTCTCAAACGATTAAATTTCATACCGGTTTAAGTTCAAAATATTTTATGTGAATTTTCTTTAAATTATTTTTCAACTTTTAAAATTTTATTGAAAAATTCGTTTTTGGGTCATTGGAGATTTGACCGCCTCGTAAAATGTAAAAAATTCGACTATCTCAGAAATTCAATGAAATATGTTTGGATAACTAGATTTTGCGAGACGAATTCAACGGTGAGATCCGTTTTGTCATTCAAACTCTAGAGAAAAACGGATTTTCAACTCGCCCTATAGTTGCAAATTACCGTTGTATCCTTTTTCATAAAAAGTTCAAATTTTTCCGGATTTTACAATTATTGACTTTGATTTTATCACCTGATATCCTATCTTATATTTTATGACACATTTTACTGTCTCCCTATTTTGACTTGTGATCATTCTTTTATCTGTATAACTTATATTTTATTTTGTTTAGTCATATGTGTTGCTGCCGAATCAGATATTCTGAATTCTATATCTAATGGTTAACTCTTCTATATCAATGTGGTGCAGTTATCACGGATTATCTACCTGTTCTCGAGTAACATGCATGATGCTTCATTGTCACTCAGCATTCATACTACTTGTGCTCGCTTAATGTTGAATCTGGTGCAAATTCAAACTCTGTCCTCTAAAAGAAAAGACATTTCTCTTTCTCCCTTCTTCCCCCTTGCCCCACTTTAAGTTTTGACTGCATATATGAATACATGTTGTGATTGATCAATGACTTTATTTGTTGATTTTTTCTTTGGTTACAGGTGGAACCTATTTTTGAAAAAGGTGTCGATCAGCCTTCGATGGATGAAGCACGGATTTTATTGGTCTGTGTTTCATATTGTGTTTTTAGAGTGCCTCCATTTTCATATAGTAGTTGACTGTCTGCAGTTGATGTAACTTGTTGGTATCTGTGTTTTTCTTCGGTCTTAACGTGGTAAATTGTGTAAACTTTTCCTGTAGGGGCGAATTTTGGATGCTTTTGTTGGGAAATTTAGCACTTTCAAACGTACTATCCCCCAGGTACTCAAAATTAATCGAGATGCTATATAACTGTCATGCTGGACATCCATGAGGAATCATGTTGACTTCAAGGATCCAAATTTCGTTTCGGTCACCTAGGAAATGTAGTCATTTCAACGTATTTTGAAAATGTTTCGACTAGTTTCAGAAACAAAATGAAAAAAATTTAACATTTAATTTTTGGAAAACATTGGTCGAAATTTTCCGAAGTATCTTGAAATAGCTTGAAACATTTCGAAACCAAAACAATTGTGTAAATAAATTGAAATATTACAAAACACTTCGAAACATTATGAAATATCTCGAAATATTATAATTTTGATTCTATCGCTGATTCATTTCGGTCTCCTTGGAAATAAAAATGTTTCGGACGCTTCGATCGTTTCGAAACAAAATTTTAATCCCTGGTTGACTTATTTGTCATCAGAACATTTTGGCGATCGATTTATCAAACATCCTAGATTAGTTGGAGATTGAAAATGGTTTTCTTTTGTTTCTGTATCTTAAAGGTCTAATTATTTTTATGATTACTTGGGTGGGATCTTGTTGCTATAGAAAATGCATGTGATAGGCGATTGATTAAGGAAGTTAANGGTTGACATAAATTATTTGTGAAATATATGCATTGTTGCCCATCTTGGCATAAATCCAAATCACTGCACAAAATCCATTCCATTGGGCTGAGGAAAANGGTCCCCGTCAATAGTGTGTTGGGTGCAAACTTGATTCCCATGTTTTCGCTCTTGGAGGGTATTGCTTTTCATAAATATAATTCTTTCTTATAATAGTTTCCGCAGAAGCATTTTTTGTTGCAGATTTTAACTTTTCTTATCTCGCTGAAGTGGTGATGGTATGACGCCATGATAAGTGGTCCCTCTTTAGCTTCTATTTTGGATGTGTTTCAATTTCTTAGTTGGAAATCTAAGGTCTTGTTGCCTTGAGTGATTGTACACATAAGATTATATGCATTTGCTCTTGCATATGGAATGTATAGGTTTTAATCACTTGTTTATTGTTCAAGAGGCCAAAATGTTAGCAAGATGACTCCCTACTACCCAACAGGAAAAATCTGTAATCGTGGGACTCCTTTAAATTGGTCTAACCTCTGATCAAAGATCACTTCTTATGTACTTATGTGAGTCTTTGTGCTTTATTTTTGGTGGTAGCTACTGGAAGAGGGAGAGGAAGGAAAAGATCATTCTACACTGAGATCAAAGCTTGAACTCCCTGTGCAGGTAATTTTGATAACTTGCCCTTTCTGTTTATGGTTGTGTTTGTTACCACAACTTTCCGAAGTTTAGTCTACCCTTTTTTTATCCTCGAGTAACGAGATGTGTAATTTTTAAAGGGCTTCAACACCCTCCTACCAGAAAAAAAAAGTACAGTGGAGGAAGAAAAGAGGAAAAGCTCCGTGGGGGGGGGGGGGGGAGGCATCAGTGGATACATAATCTGTTTGTTTTTGTATTATAATCAGTTTATTAGTAGCAGTACTATAAAGCAAAAACCATTACATCTATTGTACTGGTGTTTACTTTAAAATTCACTGGCTTCATTATACTGCTAATTAACTTGTTCTGTTTGCATCTTTTTCGTACTATTTTGAATCTGTGGAAGTGAGGGCAATGAATGCAAATTCAAGACAGCAGTACNGAGATCCCTGATATTGTGCTTAACTAGTCTGAGGAGTGGAAGGTTAAATGTGCATTTATATTTTATGAGGTTTGTGGATAGCTTGCTTGTTCAATGTGACTGNCATGGGCCATGACCTCTATTTATGGGTTGTGGTGCAATGGGCTGTGTTATATGGTTACTTTTATGGGATGTGCATCTGCTTTGTTGGNACTTTGAATCTGTGGAAGTGAGGGCAATGAATGCAAATTCAAGACAGCAGTACATTGAAAAGTTTTTCTGATCAAAAATCTGCTGACAATCAGTACATTTTTTGGTGTTCATTGTTACGAACTTTTATTTACCTAATTTTTTGTTCTATCACTGTTTACATTTGGGTCTTGACAAACTTGTTGTGCTCCCCACTTAAGAAATACAGACATGGACACACCTAACACAGTCACAGACAGGTTTCTTAAAAACAAGACATGGACATGTCAGGGACGNACTGATGTACTTTGGAATTATGCATCGATGGCAATTCTTTGGTGTCCTTGCTTTGGGCGGAATGCTAGAATTTTTTAGGAGTGTTCTGTTTCCTTTAGAGCTAGTCTGGGAAGGAATTGTGTTCGTCATTTTTTCATTAACAAAAGCCACTGCAAATTTCAAAGTGGTGCTTTTGGCAGATTTTCAACAAGTATTGGGAGGCTCCTTAAGTTTCTTTGTTATATTCTTTTTATTTTACTCTATTTATCCTTTTTTTCTTTGAGGATATCTTGTCCTCGATATTGCAAAATTTCTTTCATTCTTTTCCTCCATAAGACTCTTCTTCTATATAAAAAAAAAGGCAGTAAATGAGCTTGTTTATGGTTTTATTTCTCTTGTTGATTTACGTTGTATTGTCATTATTATATGTCTACATCTGGTGGTAAAACTGGTTTTGGCAAATCAATTTTTATCATATACTAGTTGAAGGTACAACTGAAACTTGCTTTTGCTTTGTAATGAAATCTGCCATTTTCCCTTAAGCACCATGTTCCCCTCCTTTTTTTCCTCTAACCCCTCTGACCCTGAACAACAACGATGTTGCAGGCAGTTTTAAATCTTCAGGTTCCTGTGGAGCATTCTAAGGAAGTCAGTGATTGCAAGCATCTGATAAAAACCTTGGTTATGGGTAATTATTCCTCTTTTGGATTCCTTTTTCTTTTCTGGTTTTTTATTAAATGCAAATGGTGCTTAATACTTTACTATGCTAAACAGGGTTAATTCATATTCTTGTACTAATTTATTTGTTTCTTTAATTTTCACTGTTATGGTTCTTCAGGAATGAAGACTATAATCTGGAGCATCACTCATGCACATTTACCCCGGTCTCAGGTCTCTTTGTATCTCTCAGTCTGCAGTGCTACATCTTTAGTGTTATTTTATTATCTTATATGGTCCTGCAACTGGTTTGTTTCCCCTGTGCAGGGGTTTTATCAATTCTCTAACTCTAAACTTCTGTGGTGTTTAGGTTTCTCCTTCCACGCATGGTACACCTCCACAAGGGCTTGCTCCAACAGCCAGTTCATCAATACCGCAACCATTCAAAGGGATGAGAGAAGATGAGGTATTAACTCTTAACACAATGTTTGCTTATGCATTCCATTGACACGATTAACTTAATCTGACTTTGGTAGGTATGGAGAGCTTCTGGTGTATTAAAGAGTGGTGTGCATTGCTTAGCCCTGTTCAAAGAGAAGGATGAGGAAAGGGAAATGGTCCATCTTTTTTCCCAGATTTTGGCTATTATGGAGCCTCGAGATCTCATGGACATGTTTTCATTGTGTATGCCGGAGCTTTTCGAATGCATGATTTCCAACACTCAGCTAGTCCACATGTTTTCTACCCTTTTGCAAGCTCCTAAGGTTTTCCGGCCATTCGCAGATGTTTTGGTTAATTTCCTTGTGAGTAGCAAACTTGATGTCCTGAAGCATCCGGATTCACCCGCAGCAAAACTAGTTTTGCATCTCTTTAGGTTTTTATTTGGCGCCGTTGCCAAGGCTCCTTCAGATTGCGAACGTATTCTGCAGCCTCAAGTGCCTGTTATCATGGAAGCTTGCATGAAAAATGCTACTGAGGTTGAGAGGCCAATTGGATATTTGCAACTTCTTCGTACAATGTTTCGTGCACTTGCTGGAGGAAAATTTGAACTTCTGCTGCGGGATTTGATTCCTACACTGCAACCTTGCTTAAATATGCTATTGGCCATGCTTGAGGGGCCTACTGGTGAAGATAGGAGGGAACTCTTGCTGGAGCTTTGCTTAACCTTGCCTGCACGCTTAAGCTCATTGTTACCTCATCTTCCCCGTCTTATGAAGCCTCTAGTCATGTGTCTTAAAGGGGGTGATGACCTTGTGAGCTTAGGTTTAAGAACCCTAGAGTTTTGGATAGATAGCTTGAACCCTGATTTCCTGGAACCAAGTATGGCAAATGTAATGTCTGAAGTTATTTTGGCATTGTGGTCTCATCTGAGGCCTGCACCCTATCCTTGGGGTGGGAAATCATTGCAACTCCTTGGTAAATTAGGTGGTCGTAACAGACGCTTTCTGAAAGAGCCTCTTGCACTTGAGTGCAAGGAAAACCCAGAGCATGGGCTTCGCTTGATTCTTACATTTGAGCCTTCCACTTCATTTCTGGTACCTCTAGATCGTTGTATAAATCTTGCTGTGGCAGCTGTCATGCAGAAGGACGGGGCTGTTGATGCTTTCTACCGGAAACAAGCCCTGAAGTTTCTTCGTGTATGCTTGTCCTCGCAGCTTAATTTGCCAGGACATGTTACTGATGAGGGATCAACATCTATACAGCTGTCATCTTTTCTAGTTTCCTCTGTTGATCCATCTTTGAGAAGGTCTGAAGCATCTGATATAAAGGTTGGTTTGATGAAATTTTATTTTAGTTGTTGCTAAAAGCACTTGTACAAACGCTTTCTTACCATTTCATTACTCTAAATTTAGATTGCTGATTCATTAAAATGTCATAGCTTTCTTGCCTTCTATTATATTTTCATTCAATGCATTGACTGAAGGTTTTATGTGATATGTACTTTCAACCAATTCATCCTCTTTTTTCTCTCTCTGTTGTTATTGCCTCAATATGGTTTAAGATCGCGGCATCTGTGATTGATTTGGAGTGCATTGATGTCGGTCGTGGCATTGCAGAATGACATCAATCGATATGCTCGAAATTTTAGATGAAGTTGAATATGATTAGAGATTCAACAATATTGCTGCATTGGAGAGTTGTATCAAGTTATTCAATGATGATGACTTGGCATCGACAGTAGACGTCTGGACAACTTGGCTGCGTCGTGCGAGACTTGTTATGATATTGGAACAGAAGGTTCTGAGTTGTTTGTATCCGCCAATTCTTTGAACCATGCCCCCATGATGGCCTCTATCTGCATTATCATTGCCCATACACGGTCATGTGAATGTTCAACCGTAGATATAGGAAAAAGGCTTGTTCATATTTAGGAATTATTAGAAACCGTTGGAGCCTATTTTCTCCAACAAACTGTTTCGTAATTGGAGATTACAAGTGGCCACTGGAGCTAGGCCTTATTTGAATCATGTTCCCATTATTAACACTAGGCCTTCTAGTAATGTGTTTCTATTGGTGGAAAGGCTGCAACAATATACTGTTTCTGGATAATGAATTAATTGTGGTCAGTTTTTTTATTATTATCTTAGTTGTGCTCGAGTATCGCCAGTGGCCTTCTTTGCTTTTGGATAACATGTTCTCCTAGTTTATGTGTGAAATCATATGGATTTTCAGCAGTGTAAAATTAGAAAGAAGTTCGTTCTTGGTTTCCCTAGGTTAACATACAGGATATTTTGGTAAGTGTGATTTTCAATGATAATTGGCTGGGGAAAAATCAATGAGATGAATCAGCCACTGAACTGTTTGAAACAGGAACATTGTTTGGTTTAATTGGTACGTTGGATTTGTAGATGTGTTTAATTTCAACTCTCAAACTCCAGGTTTACTAATACCGCTCCCAACCTTAGCACAGATTTAGCCACACTAGGATGGACATACTTGTTGATTAGTCTTTTTGTCAGACCCCGAGTATCAGGCATAACTTTCTCAAAGTTAATGGTTAAAAAGTTACAAGAAATAAGAGTGGGAGAATCTCATCCTGATTTTGTTTTGTTCTCCTAGATTTCTTATCAATTAGAGATAAAAAAATATAGCAAAGAAAGCGAGTATACAAGGTTTTTTAAGAAACCCTGTGGTTACTTGGGGGAGTGAGAGAGGTAACTAAGGGGCTGTGCTTTTTATTTTATCTTCCCCTTGTGGTGCTGCTTTCCTGCTCCAAGCTTGAATTTGCAATAAGTGGATTCACCCCTAATCTGCCGACTGGGACGTGGACTGCACGTGAGGCTCTTTTCTTTTAGCACCTTCATTCTGCATAGAGATGTGAAGTTTTAAGCACTGTAGTCAACTTTGGTGGGTTTAGGATATCTGAAGAGTTTCATCGAATGATATGTGGGGTGTTACTAGGAAGAGAAGAAAGTTGTGTTTTTGGCCATTCTTGCTATTGCACTTGGTTGTGATTGTTCGACTACAAACTGTTATTTGAAAATTTCAATACAATTTTTGGGCTTTATCAACTTGATGCATGTCTGTAATATTGACTACAAGTCAATGGAACTCCTTGATTATTATGTCACTCAATGTATATGCACTCATTTACAGCATTCGACACTATTATTTTCTCAAATTGTATGCTCTTATCTGTTTTCTTTTTTGTATATGTCAAACCTGTAGTGAATCCTTTCTCATGCATTTTTTCCATTCCATTTCTACATGGTTGGGGTTGCAGACTTCTGCAAAAATTTCCCAATTTATGTTGAATTTTAATAACTTATGAATGATTCGTATGTTAGTATTGGCATTAAAAAAAGTAGCATATGTCAATTCTATGAGAATGAGTGCTTTTTTTTTTCTGGAAATGGTTTATTGTAATTTTTACATGTAACTGTTCGCCTCATCCTCTAATGATTGGTAACCTACTGTGTTCTAACTATGAGATTGCTCACCATGGGTATGTGTGATTGCTATTTTTCAGTTTTGACTTGACTGTGGTCGATGATACACCATTCTCAGTTATTTGTTCTAGGACAGTTTGGTCTCCAATTATTTATCCCTCCTTTTCCTTGCTGAATGTCTCTGTCGTCCTTGGTTGCTTGATATTGATAGCTTTTAATGGCGAACAAATATTTATGCAGGCTGACTTAGGTGTGAAGACAAAGACCCAACTTATGGCTGAGAAAACTGTGTTCAAGATTCTCTTGATAACCATCATTGCTGCAAATGCCGAACCTGATTTGCATGATTTGAAGGACGAATATGTTGTAAATGTTTGCCGCCATTTTGCAATCCTATTTCACATAGACAATTCCTCAGCTAACACATCGGCTCCAAGTGCTCCGCTAGGTGGTCCTATGCTTTCATCGAATTCCAGTGTCGGCTCAAAGTTAAGAAATAGTACTTGCTCTAATCTGAAAGAGTTGGACCCCCTAATCTTTTTAGATGCATTAGTGGATGTGCTGGCAGATGAGAATAGACTGCATGCTAAAGCTGCTCTGAGTGCACTGAACGTATTTGCTGAGACACTTCTCTTCCTTGCACGCTCAAGACATGCTGACGTGCTTATGTCAAGAGGAGGTCCTGGTACTCCTATGATCGTCTCTAGTCCATCAATGAGTCCTGTATATTCTCCTCCTCCAAGTGTTCGAATACCGGTTTTTGAGCAACTTTTACCTCGTCTTTTGCATTGTTGCTATGGAAGTACTTGGCAAGCTCAAATGGGAGGAGTTATGGGGCTTGGTGCTTTGGTTGGAAAGGTCACTGTTGAAACTTTATGCCTTTTCCAAGTACTAATTGTTCGTGGGCTGGTATATGTTCTTAAAAGGCTCCCCATATATGCTAGTAAAGAGCAGGAAGAGACAAGTCAGGTGCTTACACAGGTTCTCCGTGTTGTGAATAATGTTGATGAAGCAAACAGCGAAGCTCGGAGGCAAAGTTTTCAAGGAGTTGTTGAATTTCTTGCATCAGAATTATTTAATGCCAATGCATCTATTAATGTAAGAAAGATTGTGCAGTCTTGTTTGGCACTTTTGGCAAGTAGAACTGGCAGTGAGGTATCTGAGTTGCTTGAACCGTTGTACCAACCTTTGCTTCAGCCTCTTATAATGCGTCCACTTCGTTTAAAGACTGTTGATCAACAGGTAGATTTTTTGTTTCCCATTGTTGTGTTTACTGCTTGCTGATATTATTAATTAACTTTATTGTGTGGCATTTAGGTTGGAACAGTTACTGCTTTGAATTTCTGCTTGGCTTTGAGGCCCCCTCTTCTGAAGTTGAATCAAGAACTAGTGACTTTCCTGCAAGAAGCATTGCAAATAGCTGAGGCTGATGAAACTGTGTGGGTTGTGAAGTATATGAACCCAAAAGTTGTTACATCGTTAAATAAGCTCCGCACAGCTTGCATTGAACTACTATGTACGGCAATGGCATGGGCAGATTTCAAAACTCAAAATCATTCTGAATTGCGTGCTAAAATTATTTGCATGTTTTTCAAATCCTTGACAAGCAGGACACCAGAAATTGTAGCTGTTGCTAAGGAGGGCTTAAGACAGGTTTTTGGTGCTTGTTCTATTGTTTGTATTGATTATTTGTTATTGGGTAGACTGAAATGTTTGGTAAACAATTTCATTATTATTTTTAGTAACAGATTTTGTNGTTCAAAGTTAAGAAATAGTACTTGCTCTAATCTGAAAGAGTTGGACCCCCTAATCTTTTTAGATGCATTAGTGGATGTGCTGGCAGATGAGAATAGACTGCATGCTAAAGCTGCTCTGAGTGCACTGAACGTATTTGCTGAGACACTTCTCTTCCTTGCACGCTCAAGACATGCTGACGTGCTTATGTCAAGAGGAGGTCCTGGTACTCCTATGATCGTCTCTAGTCCATCAATGAGTCCTGTATATTCTCCTCCTCCAAGTGTTCGAATACCGGTTTTTGAGCAACTTTTACCTCGTCTTTTGCATTGTTGCTATGGAAGTACTTGGCAAGCTCAAATGGGAGGAGTTATGGGGCTTGGTGCTTTGGTTGGAAAGGTCACTGTTGAAACTTTATGCCTTTTCCAAGTACTAATTGTTCGTGGGCTGGTATATGTTCTTAAAAGGCTCCCCATATATGCTAGTAAAGAGCAGGAAGAGACAAGTCAGGTGCTTACACAGGTTCTCCGTGTTGTGAATAATGTTGATGAAGCAAACAGCGAAGCTCGGAGGCAAAGTTTTCAAGGAGTTGTTGAATTTCTTGCATCAGAATTATTTAATGCCAATGCATCTATTAATGTAAGAAAGATTGTGCAGTCTTGTTTGGCACTTTTGGCAAGTAGAACTGGCAGTGAGGTATCTGAGTTGCTTGAACCGTTGTACCAACCTTTGCTTCAGCCTCTTATAATGCGTCCACTTCGTTTAAAGACTGTTGATCAACAGGTAGATTTTTGTTTCCCATTGTTGTGTTTACTGCTTGCTGATATTATTAATTAACTTTATTGTGTGGCATTTAGGTTGGAACAGTTACTGCTTTGAATTTCTGCTTGGCTTTGAGGCCCCCTCTTCTGAAGTTGAATCAAGAACTAGTGACTTTCCTGCAAGAAGCATTGCAAATAGCTGAGGCTGATGAAACTGTGTGGGTTGTGAAGTATATGAACCCAAAAGTTGTTACATCGTTAAATAAACTCCGCACTGCTTGCATTGAACTACTATGTACGGCAATGGCATGGGCAGATTTCAAAACTCAAAATCATTCTGAATTGCGTGCTAAAATTATTTCCATGTTTTTCAAATCCTTGACAAGCAGGACACCAGAAATTGTAGCTGTTGCTAAGGAGGGCTTAAGACAGGTTTTTGGTGCTTGTTCTATTGTTTGTATTGATTATTTGTTATTGGGTAGACTGAAATGTTTGGTAAACAATTTCATTATTATTTTTAGTAACAGATTTTGTCTGATTGTTCTATGTTTAGGTTTTACTAGCTTAGTGTGGTTGACCTCGTTATATTCATCACATGGTTTAGAAGTAGGGTGGATTAGTGAGGAAGGTTGGTTTGGTTGGATGATGGCTTATCCCGTTTACATGGGCTTTAATTAAGTACATATAATAGCCAATAGGTGGTATTTCTTACTTGTGCAAGAGTAACCTGCCCAAATGTTTGAAATGTTGAGTTGCTTTCTTCTTGGGTTTGGTGTCGTCCCTTTTGCATATTTTCTGTTTAATAGTCAGAATTTTGAAGCTCGCTCCTTTTTCTGTTGTCTTTTTTAGGTTATTTTACAGCAAAGGATGCCCAAAGAACTTCTGCAGAGCAGCCTGAGACCAATATTGGTTAACTTGGCACATACCAAAAATCTTAGCATGCCTCTTTTGCAAGGTCTGGCCCGTCTGCTTGAACTTCTGTCCAACTGGTTCAATGTTACATTGGGTGGTAAATTGTTAGAGCATCTTAAGAAATGGTTGGAACCCGAGAAACTCGCACAATGTCAGAAGTTGTGGAAGGCTGGTGAAGAACCAAAAATAGCTGCTGGTGAATTATCTAGTTTGTGTTTTTATGGTTAAAGTTGTACGTGCACACACACTCACAGATACAAATGTTGATGTGCTGATTTAATTTATTGATCGTCTTGCAGCTATTATCGAGCTTTTCCACCTCCTTCCTTCTGCGGCAGGGAAGTTCCTTGATGAGCTTGTAACCCTGACTATTGATTTGGAAGCTGCCCTTCCCCCGGGACAGTTTTATAGTGAGATTAATAGTCCATATAGACTTCCACTGACCAAGTTTTTAAATCGTTATCCAGCAGCGGCTGTTGATTATTTTCTTAGTCGCTTATGCCAGTCAAAATATTTTAGTCGGTAAGGTTGAGATTCTCAAGTGAATTTATAGATCTATGGTTGGCCTGAAAAACAAATCAGTGAAGTTTTTGATTCTTATGTTTTTTATTTTTTATTTTTTGGCATAAAATCCAGGTTTATGTATATTATACGGTCAGATGCTGGCCAACCATTGAGAGAAGAACTTGCGAAGTCGCCAGAGAAGATACTTGCAAGTGCCTTTCCTGAATTTTTACCAAAAACAGACACATCAATGGCTCAGGGAGCTTTTACTCCACCTACAGCTTTGATGGGTGATGAGGGCATTGTCACTCCTCAACCTGAAAGTTCTAATCCGACTTCTGCCAACTCGGGTGAAACCACAGATGCGTATTTTCAGGGACTTGCACTGGTCAAGACTTTGGTTAAACTGATGCCAGGCTGGTTGCAGAGTAATCGTGTTGTTTTTGATACATTAGTACTTCTGTATAAATCACCTGCAAGAATTGTCCGTTTGCAAAATGAGCAGGAACTGAACCTAGTGCAAGTAAGTCTGATGACCATCAATCAGAAGTTGTAAATTTGGTCTGCCTTGTTTTTTTCCTAAACTGTAAAGTGTCTGGAACTCTTGCATTTCCTCCTCGAGGCATGGAAAAGGTTTTATATTCTCGTTAAGATATCAGAGCAGTCATTCCAATTTCTTGAACTTTGCACCTATCCTTAGAGAACTTTATCAGTGAAGTCTGCCCACTATATTGATACAGTAGGTTGAGTTATTAGTCTATTCTAATATTTTACTCTGCCCTTTCTTTTCTCATTCCACTGTTGCAGATCCATGTATTTCAGAGTCAAGTTTGTATGCGTCACTTTTTATTAAAAAAAAAAAGGAACAGTATCTGGGTCTTGGCCGTCCCGTAGAGGATGTTTTCCCAATTGCTATGCATGGTTCATGGACATTTTCCAAGTAACTTGTGCTTATTTTTCTTCTATTAACATTTTTTTTGGGGAAATTAGTGTTATTAAAAAGTTGAGCTCTATAAATGGATCGCTCACGTGAACTTCTCATTATTCCAACAAAAAAGAAAAGAAAAAAGGAATGAAAGAATTCTTCTTTTGCTATGTTATTGCAGGTAAGAGGGCTTATATTTGTATGCTGTACCCATACTCGATGCATTAAGAAAAAAAAGTTGTAATTGAGCTTCGTGTTACTGATTTAATGTTCAAGTTTCATTTTTCGTCTGTGTTAATAGAAAAAAAAAAATCTTACTCACACTGTTTCTTGCAACTGTGACACAGATCTGTTATAATGTGTGCAGTATTTTTCACTTTTAATAATCGATACCTATATTGATTTTCTATTTGATTAAGTATGCAAATTCCAAGTGATTTCGAGATAATTTATATATTGCAGGTGAAAGAAAGCAAATGGCTTGTCAAATGCTTCCTGAATTTCTTACGCCATGATAAGAGTGAAGTCAATGTCCTATTTGATATCCTCTCCATATTCTTGTTTCGTACACGCATCGATTTTACTTTCCTGAAGGAGTTCTATATTATTGAGGTATGCTTATTTTGGAGAGAATGATTAATTTCCTGTGTTCATTTTTTGTCGTGTTCTCTTTTTCTCTGTCATTTTCTGTTATTAATATTCTGTTTTGATACTGTTTCCAATCCTTACTTTGCTATTCAGGTTGGTGAGGGCTATCCACCCAACATGAAGAAAACCCTCCTTTTGCATTTTTTGAATCTTTTCCAATTAAAACAGCTAGGTCATGATCACTTGGTGGTGGTCATACAAATGCTCATTCTCCCTATGTTAGCTCATGCTTTCCAGAATGGCCAAAGTTGGGAAGTTGTGGACACCACTATTGTTAAGACCATTGTTGACAAGCTTCTTGATCCTCCAGAAGAGGTAAATAATTGATGCATGATTTTTATGACACTTTTTCCTTGTATCAATTCTTGTTTCTAACTTGGCAAGGCATTTGTGCGGTCCACATATTTATATATCGAGGATTTTCTTATCTTTTGTAGGTCTCTGCTGATTACGATGAGCCCTTGAGGATAGAGCTTTTGCAGCTTGCCACTCTACTTCTCAAGTATCTTCAGAGTGACCTTGTTCATCACAGGAAGGAACTCATTAAATTTGGCTGGAATCATCTCAAACGTGAAGACAGTGCTAGTAAACAGTGGGCATTTGTGAATGTTTGCCACTTCTTGGAGGCATATCAGGCGCCCGAGAAAATAATACTCCAGGTAGCTTCATAAATCTATAACCATAGCCAGCTATATGTTCACTATTACTACTATATTGTGTGTCGTAATTACTATTCATTGCTTTCCCTTTACATCACCTAATAGGCATGGCAAACTTCATATTACCAATTTCAAATTCATAGTTTGATTCTGTGTACCCTCATGTCCTCAGCAGAGAAATAGGTGAGAAAAAGAACATCTGGTGCTTGAATCATCAATGCTTTATTCTACTAATGAACTGGTCAAAATGAGTCAAAGTAGTTATAACTTGGGAATGCTACTGAAGGCTTCACAAAGGATAAATAAAGGCAGAGAGTTTGATTGTCATATGAATGAAATTACTTTTGTTCCAGTCTGACTTCAAGAATGATAGCATTTTGCTCCACGTTTCGTTCATGCATCAAGGGTTAAAAGGGTTTTGAAAGTGTGTTGAATAAGATTTTCAGAATATTTTTCCAATTGAATCTATTGTTCTTCTCAAATTTGTAATACAGTTTTCTGCTCACTTTTTTTTTTTTTTTTAATCTGTGAATCTAGGTAAAGAAAGTTCCAACTGTTTCTTCATGGCCACTTCATCTTTGCTATGAGGCTGTTTCTGCTTCCCAAAAGTTTCCATTTTTCCTCATAATAGATGCCATTAGACAGGGCTCCAGATGCCACCGACACCTACCTTTAACATCCAAGAGAAAACTTAGTCCCCAGATGATGCAGTGCTTTGGCAATGTAGGATTTGTAGTCTATTCTGCACTGTTATTTGTTGGGGACAAAGTTATCTATTGTTGAAACTTTATCTACTGCATTTTCTGTTAGTACCTTGGAATTATGTGGATTGAATGTTTGGGAAACATATTCTTTTGTGTTTTAGATAACTAATTTGTTTCTATGACTTACATTATCTTGAGATCCCAACTCTTACACCAATTAAGAAATTGTACTCACAGCAAGTTGAAACTGCAGGTGTTTGTGGCGCTTCTTCGAACCTGCCAGCCGGAGAATAAAATGTTGGTCAAGCAAGCTCTTGATATTTTAATGCCAGCACTTCCACGAAGATTGCCACTTGGTGATTCCCCTATGCCAATTTGGATACGTTACACAAAAAAAATCCTTGTCGAGGAAGGACACTCAATTCCGAATCTAATCCACATATTTCAGCTCATAGTCCGCCATTCAGATCTCTTTTACAGCTGCAGAGCACAATTTGTGCCTCAGATGGTGAATTCACTCAGTCGCCTTGGATTGCCATATAATACTACTGCAGAAAATAGGCGTCTCGCAATTGAACTTGCTGGATTGGTTGTCAGTTGGGAAAGGCAAAGACAAAATGAAATGAAAATAGTAACCGACAGTGATATTCCTCACCAGAGTACCGATGGATATAGCCATGGGTCAACTGGTGTTGATCCTAAGCGTTCGGTGGATGGATCTTCATTTTCCGAAGATCCAAGTAAGCGAGTAAAGGTTGAAGCTGGTCTTCAATCCCTGTGTGTGATGTCACCTGGTGGTGCCTCATCAATTCCTAACATAGAAACCCCTGGATCTTCTGGCCAACCTGATGAAGAATTCAAGCCGAATGCAGCAATGGAGGAAATGATCATCAATTTTCTCATAAGAGTAAGGCTTCCTTCTTGAAAAGAAAGAAAATAAATCCCACTTTTGGGTCAGATTATGGTCACACCACCAAAGTTTATACAACCCGTCATTGAATAGGAACTTAACCTGTAAATATCGTCAAACCTCAAATTGCATGAAACAGTTTCAAGTAAATTTTGCAATACTTGCCTTACATCTCTTATTGCATGAAACAGTTTCATTCCTACCACGTGATTGTTCTTGCCTTTGTGAACACTTTCAACAACTTGTCAAATACTCTGCTTTTTAACTTGTTTCTGAATTTGAAGTTGATGTTGTGCTAGTTTTTACCATGGCTACATGTTGTCTGTCCCTTAACTTCTTTAAACTACTACAAATTTTTTGCGTACTTTCATTGGTAACCTTAGTGCTGAGGCCACTACTTTTGGCCTAAGGTGCTAGGGTTCTTCCGTAATCTTAGTTGTATCTAATCTGCAAAATTTGTTGTGTTATTGCCATAGTTATTTTAGTTGCTTTAATGTGTTCACTTGCTGACNTCATGGCCACTTCATCTTTGCTATGAGGCTGTTTCTGCTTCCCAAAAGTTTCCATTTTTCCTCATAATAGATGCCATTAGACAGGGCTCCAGATGCCACCGACACCTACCTTTAACATCCAAGAGAAAACTTAGTCCCCAGATGATGCAGTGCTTTGGCAATGTAGGATTTGTAGTCTATTCTGCACTGTTATTTGTTGGGGACAAAGCTATCTATTGTTAAAACTTTATCTACTGCATTTTCTGTTAGTACNAATTTGTCATGTTATGATTTGAGATTGTGTTATTACCAGTCCTATAGTGGTATTGACTTTGGCTTCCTGAAAGTAGGTAGCTTTGGTGATAGAGCCCAAGGATAAGGAAGCAAGTCTCATGTACAAACAAGCTTTAGATCTCCTATCACAAGCATTGGAGGTGTGGCCAAATGCTAATGTGAAATTCAATTATCTGGAGAAGCTGCTAAGCAGTATTCAACCATCTCAGTCAAAAGACCCGTCGACAGCTCTTGCACAGGGCCTGGATGTCATGAACAAGGTGCTGGAAAAGCAACCACATTTGTTTATCCGAAATAACATCAACCAGATTTCCCAAGTATGACTCAATGAAACCTTTGTTTTGTTTGGTGTATCTATAGTATCTCTCTCTCTCTCTCTCTATATATATATATATATATATATATGGTAACTTCCAACTGGTGACGGTTTTTTCGCCTAGCAATACCATTCTGCTGAGAGGTGCCGGCACAAGAACAGGAAGTCTGATGAATAATACCAGTTTTTCGAAGATAAGCCGAAAAGGGATCAGATTCACATTCACGAGTGTTATCAGAACGTAAAATGCGAATACGACAACCATACTAAATTTTTCTTTCTTTATGAAAGGTCTCAAAAATAAAAAATAATTCAAAACGAGCTTTCATAAGAAATAACCAAGTCACATGAGAATAATCATCCACAAATGTCATAAAATAAGGGAATTTATTAGATTAAATATTTTTTATTGGACCCTATATATCAGAATATACTAATTCAAAGGGAGTAGATACACGATTATTGAATCTAGACTGAAAAGACCCATATTGATGTTTACTAAGTTGACAAGCTTCACACGACACAGAACAAAGGTTGGGAATTTGACTCTTTAGATTTAGAGGGATGACCAAGACGATAATGTCATTGAAAGGGAGATGACGAAGTCTAAAGTGCCCGAGTAAGTGGATCAAGGTCGAAGTAGTAGAGATCATCGACTTCATGGTCTGTATTAGTCTTCTTCTTCGTCTAGAGATCTTAAAATACACAGTAAGAGAGAAAAAAAGTTACTGAACAATTAAAGGAACGAATAATCTTGCTAACGGAAAGTAAACTAAAAAGGAAATTGAGGGACAAATAAAACAAATTATAAGGACATCATGACTCAATTGAGTAGTCCCCAAACTTGAAACCTTATAAGAAGTATCATTAGTAAGAGTGACATTATATGGGAAAGTAACAGGACGATAAGTATAAAATACACTAGACGAACTAGTCATGTGATCTAAATCGTCGGAGTCAATGCTTCAGGGACTGCGAGTGGAGGATAATAAATAAGTGAAAGTGATACCTAACTGGGTAAATGTAGCAGTGGAGGAAGATGGAGCAATCAGATGTAGAGACATGAATTAACCATACTCCTCTCGTGTGATAGTAACCAACTCAGAGTCAGGTGGAGCTGATCGACATATGAGAGCCGGTAGAGAGGAAGTATCATTCTGATAGGAGATTTGATTGCAGCACCAGACGATTTTTTGATGTAAATCACAACAATAATCAACAATGTTAACCTCTATGACCACAATGAGTGTAGGAACGAGGACCTCCACAACTGCCACAACCTCCATTATTGTGGCCAGTGAGAACAACAAGAGTTGAGCGATCAGTGGACAAGTCCTTAACAATACCTGGGGAGGAAGAGTGAGTAGACATGGTAGCACAGTAAAAGAGAGAAGACCTCAGGAAGAGATAGAAGACTGGACTCACCCAAAATCTGAAGCGAATAGGCTCATATTCAGGTTTCAAATCAATAAGGAAACAAACAACATCCAACTCCTCACGTTGCTTCTGCAAAACAGTCACATCAGTAGTAAACGGGTGGTGGTAGGTCTTCAATTCCTCACAAACACCCCGAATTTGAGGGTAATAATCTTCGAGACTCAGAGCACCTTGTTTTAGGCGAAAATACTATTTGCACACTATAAGCTCGAGTCAAATTATCTGTGTTAGAATACATGGTGGCCAAGGGATCCCAAATTTATTTGGCCGTGTCAAGATAAAGTAACGTAAAACTGATACTAGTTGCAATGCTATTCAATAGTAATGAGACAATCTTTCGCTGGGGAACCGTCTTCCTTGTCTTATGTCGGATCTTATAATTGTAGAGGCCACAAGTAGCATAGTCTTTTAACCCAGCTCGCTCACTCCTCCAAATATGAACATAAGATAGGCTAAAGGACCCTTTCTCAAGGAAAAGCTTCTTATGACAAGTATGCTAGACTTTTCAAGAAGGTTGTGAATGTCCTTTCTCATCGCTAACAAATTATCTTTTTCAACCCGAAGTCATAGTCCCTTTTGTGCGGGGTTCTTCTATTTAAGATTTAATTCAACTTTTTCCGACTTAAAGAAAGCCCTAATCTTTCTTTACTTTCTAAATAGATCAAATTTTCACTCATTTCTCCCTAGCCGAGAATAACCTTATAGTGGTTGATCGCTCTATCCATCTCGTGTTGTTTTACCTTTAGCCTTTTCAGTCCCTAGCTTGGCTTGTGGAAGGGCTACTCCTGAAAGGCTAGCTTTAAATTTCTATTCTGAAAGTCGCCCTCAACCCTCGTAACGCAACTAACCCTTTTATCTATGACCTGCCGAGCACTAAGCCTTGAGCCAAAAGGATAGATTTTGTTCTTCGATAGCGCATTGTTTTTTTCTTCCACTTGACTTGAAAGAAGAGTTTTTTCTACTCGTTTACTAAGCGAATCACTTGACTAACGGTAACGGGCTACACGAATTGACTTCACTTTTGAGCTTACCCAACAGGATTTGTTCCCGAAAGAGATAGAACTAAACCTGTACTAGCTCTAACGTCTTTCTCTGGTTCCTTAGCTTCTTTCTGTTCTCTTAAACTTAAAGGCCCCTATTTGAGTAAAATGGTCTATCATTAACTAGTTCTAAGTGGCTAGAAAGAGGAAGACGCTATGGTTTTTCTTGCCCATCCCTCACAGTACTACTTCGCTATTGGTCAACCAGCAGTCTTTAGCCTTGCATGGTGGTTCAACTCACTCCTCTTTTTTTTTTTGTGATTGCCTTTAGGACCAAGCATTTCTTCCTTAGATAAGAAAGATTGCTTCTCTATTTCCCTTTTAGTCAATGTCTAATCTCTTCTTCTTATTCTTATCTTTCTCCTTCTCCTTTCCTGCAAGCTAAGCTCTATAAGTTTTCTCTTTTCTCTATCTTGCTAGGGTGTTTATATCCTGCTAGAATGAATAAGAACTCATTCTATCTATCCCTGTATTTCCTTTAGTCTGTTTTTTCTTTTCCTTTTGGTGAAGAAAAAAACTCTAAGCTATCCTCCCCTTACCTTTTAGTGGGAGCGGTCGTAGAGAGGTTAAGAATTATTGTTGACGAGAGTGAGAAAAAAGTGTCTGATTTGGAAAAAGCTTAAGTTCAAGAGCTGGTCGTAGATCAATTTCTTTTAGTAGGCTAACCTATCTTTTTATGCTTATCCTCTATCCTCTGTCCGCTCTTAGGTGGCTATTTCTTTTTAGGGAAGTGGAATGGCACACGGTTGATTTTGGAATGGTATACCCGAAGGAAATAGATCTTGTATGTAGTGTTAGAACAAAATAAAACAAATAAGAATGAAGTAGATGGGCTGCTATCGAAGAGCTGAGTGGAGATATAGATTTTAGGGTAAGTACTGACATTGACTTCCTTGCTGTACTAGTAGTGTAGTGTAATAAGGATAGTGCTTTGATCTACTACCACCATCCTTGCAAAAGGTACGAGGGTAACATCTTATAGTTTCCTGTAGTTGTTCTAGACTCCTCTCTGACTTCTCTTTCTTCCTCATGTAGTAAGTATTGCAATAGGTAGCTAGGAGAAGTAATTCCATCCTTTCTAGCTTCAATCTTCTATGGATTGACAACTCCTATCCTAGCAGCTAGTGGACCTATCCTATCTACCAAACGATGCGCATTCTTGTTTGTTTACATCTAACATTGTCCTATACCTTCTTTCTTTCTATCACTCAATACTAGGATTAGCCCCCATTAGAATGCATTATATGTAGCCATCTTTCTCCTACCGAATGAATATACTCAGTCCTTAGGAAGTACTATAGATTGAGTCCTTTCCCTCTTTGTCTCTCTTCTTTCAGTACTAGGAGTTTGGCTTCTTTCTTTTAGATTGCTCCTGATATGGATATGTAGATGAATCCCGATAATGATCTCGAACTGCTACTACTACTATTATATATGTGTCCGAGCTTGAATATAAGAATCCATTGAGACTACTGATTCTGGGCCAGGCGCAAGGATTGCGATACCAAACCAAGCTGCAAATCCCTAATCTAGATGGTTTGGACCGGAGGAGAAACCAGATGAAGGGATGAAGTAAGGCATGCTGGTGGATTTGACATTCCATCTCAGGTAGAAGAAACCGGTAGCTTGTTGAAATGAGAGATATAAGAGATTGGCTATCCTCCCCGCTTCATTCTCTGTGTCGACCTTAGAACTAGAAGGTGGAAAAACAAATGAGAGGGGGTGGGGAGTACAACTACTATATTAATCTCAACTAAGGACTTCTTGATCGGTGAAATCCTTTGATCTGTGGTACAATACGATTGGAGGAGAAGAAAGAGAAATGAGTGTTTTTCCACCGCTATAAAGTCTTAACTGAAATGCAAGTCTTTTATTGCTTTCAGAACTGGGGCTTCCTTTCTTTATCTCTGTGATGATATTAGAAGGCAGGTTCTTATGCCCACTATGTCCCTCCTTCGTTCTGTCCCCGACTCTTGTGAGCTTGGTGATGGAACCCCAGTTATTAGTTGGATTGGTACCATTGTTTGCCTAAGCCAGTGAAGCGGTATAAATGATCGCTGCCATCTTGCACTCAATCGAAAGGACCCTGCCTAAACTACCAAAAGGGCTTTGATTCAAGATTCTACCAAAGATAGCTTTCATCGCGCAGGGCTGATTCCGCTTGGAGAGGAGGTTTTGGGCTTGAGCATTCCCAATCCCTTCCTTAATGATGTGATTTAGTTTTTGCGTGGTTTGCATCATTCTATATCCAAGTCCGTGTGTCTGGCAACACATGGAATAGGGACCACAGCTTGCGCATTACGGCTTGAACGACATAACATTCTAATCAACAACTGTAATATATAACTAGGTGTTCTGCTGCCTGATTGTGTGCGCAGATGTAGGCTTGCGGTTCGTGGCATAAGCGAGAATGGACTTTCAAATAACTGTTAAGGGTCACCCAAAGCATCTTTGACCGGAAGACTGAATGGGCTCACCGCTCTTAGTTTCGCTGTCAAATCTTTCCCCAACCTTGTCCTCCCTTGGGGCTTTGCTCGAGGTGCGCGTCTTTCAATACTTCCTTTGTTAGTACGCCTATAGCCTTGTTGCTAAAGTTGTAGCCCTAGCTTCCACTTCTTTGGTTGTCTCTTTCCTCAGCTGATATTGAGTGCCCCAGTATTGATACAGGAAGGTCTGGACATGAATCGGAAACAGTAAAACCTTAACCCTAGGATCAAGGCTTATTCCAAATCTTTAGACCGACCTCTTTCTAATAACAAGATTTTATCCTCATGCGCCACAACTTGCCAATTGCTAAGCGGGCTCAGAGCCCTAGTGCTTTAGTTAAAGCGGAATTGCATATTTAGCACTAACGAAGAAGAAACCTTAATTGCAACAAACAACAAGAATCTGATCAAGGACTTACATCATACCTTGGGGCGGGATCTACTATCGACATGGAAGGAACGGAACTCCGGAGCCAACCTTCAAGTAGTATGCTTCAAGCTCCACGAAGATTTTTAGAGTTGATGCTTGGGTGTCTGCTTTTTGGATTGTTGGCATATATATATATAT